AGCCGCTGCCGCCGGTGGTAATGGGAGCCAGACGCCGTCGCCGCCGCTAATGCGCCTCCCTCCCGGCCACTAATGGAGCCATTAATGCCTGGGCGCCAGGGGCTCCGGGACGTACCTCCTCCCATGCTGCGCATGCGCGTGCCTGTTGCCCAGCGGTGCGCTACCACCAGGAGGCAGCCTAACCCCTCGCGGTGCAGTGCCTGGTGCTGGGGGAGCCGGGGGACTCTTCCCCCAAGTCACCAACTCTTAACTCCCTGCAACATTACAGAATCGTCCCCATCCCCGCATCTCCAAGCCAAGCTCTTCTTCCTAGTCTAGGGCTTCCCACTTCCTCTCCAGGACAGTCTTTTAGGCTCGCTAACACTTAGGTTCAACCTCTTCCCTTCCCTACTCTAAGCTTTCTTTGCTCTTTACTGGCCCCAGAGAAGAACCTCAGCTTCTTCGCCTGCCACTCAAGCCCGGCCTGGCTGAACCAGTTCTCCATGGTACCCATCCTCCAAGCCTGGGCTGTAGTGTCAGCTTCAGCCTCAGCTAGCCACTCAGAGTGTGAGTTCACGCACCTTCACCCCTCCTGGCCTTTGTGCATACAGCTGCCTTGACCTGGATTGCCCTTTCCTTTCTTTTACTGCTCTGAAATCTGCTTATTCCTCATACTCCCTTCCAAATGAAAAGCCCACATGAACCTCCCTCACAAACCCCATGAGCCACTGAGTTGTCCCTGTTCTCTGGCTTCCACAGACCCAATACATTCTATCCACCTTCCTAGCCACTTGCCACAGGACTCCTGAGTCCTGGACCTGGCAGAGAGATGAGGAAGGAGCTGGTTTCTGGTGATGCTGATGGGGTTCATTGAGAGAAAATGGAAATTATAGTGGACTTGGGAGTTAGAAGGCCCAGGCTCCACCCCCCCCACCCCTTCCACAAGGCCTTATTTTTCCTACCTGCCTAGGTATAGTGGTGGATACTGCCTGGCCTCAGCTGGCACCACATGTGTTCTCTAAAAAGTGGGGGTGATCATGCCCTTTAGCAGGTGGGTGGGCACAGAAGCTACCTTCCTGCTACCCCCCCCCCCACAGCCGGATCTCCTAGCTTGGCCCATACAGCCCCCGCCTTCCTGCCTGTTGGAGAACAGGTGCTTGGATGGTGGGTGGGTCTGCAAGATGGAGGCAACATTTCTCAGCAGGTTTCAGGGGCAACAGTGGGCAGTGAATTTGTGAAGAAGGAAGAGGGGGCTCCTGGACCTGGACAACCTCCCAGCCATTCCCAAGAAGGGAATGGGGGACCTGGTGCTGAGCAACTGCACACTGATTTAAAAGATGAGACCATCTCAAGTGCACAGGGTGGGGCTGGGGAAACAAGACTGCTAAAGAGTGGCAGGAGGCCAAGGCAGGTCCAGAGACACAGGACCCAAGACTGGATGCCCAAACAGAAAGCCTGGGCTGAAAACTCTGACAAGGACTAATTCCAGAAAGGGACAAATACAAAGGTATGGAGTCAGACAGGCAGAGGTCCAGAGAGAGACAGAGAACTAGAAACAGAGCAGGAGAGACAGAGGGACCCAGGGAAAAGATGAACAAACAGTGGCTTGAAGAGACCACAAACAGAAACCCAGAGACCATAGTACAGAGGCCCAGCACAGGCAATGCTTGTCAGTAAAGGGAAGCCATGCAGGAAGCTGGGAGAGAGATCATGCCAAGAATGGGACACAGACATCTGGCCTCTTGGGTGGGGGCTACAGGCTCTGGGGAGGGGGTTGTCCTCTCCTGGGGAGCAGACGGGAAGAGTCAGAGGGAGGTGGCAAGGCAGCTGGCTGGCCATGCCATGCACAGAATGTGGAGAATGCCGGCAGCCTGCCCCAGCATGTCCCCCAGCGGAAGCAAATGCCTGGCGGGGGGCAGAAGCAAGAGCAGGCAGGCTGCCCTGGGCCACCCCCTCACACCTGCTGCCCTCTGATGGAGGGTCAGACCCCAGCATGGGAGGGCAAAAGGGACCAGGATCATGGTCTCAGTGTGCCACTGGACATATTCTGCCCTATCTGGGCCTTGAAGGGAGAAGCCCCCAAGGCACCTGCTTCCCAAGAGCTAAGGAGGCCTGTGGGAGAAGAATGAAAGGCAGCTGGCTGGGACCCTGAGGGCAGCAGGATGCCTCAGTCTGAATGTCGTCAGGGAGGCGTTCAGAACTGCCAGGACAGGCACTGGACAAGTTCTGACGGCCAGGTGGCCTCCAGCAAAGGACCTCCCTTCTTGAACCTCAGTTCTACCCCTGGACTACAAGGCTGGTAATCCTTGCTTCACAGCACCAGGTGGATTTGATGATATGGTCCCATGCTTGGGGCTGGCCACACAGTACTGGATCAATAAAGAATGGTTATTGTCCTTCATCATTATTATTCAGAGTACTTGAGAGCCTGGGATCTGGAGCCAGATAGCCTGGGTTCAAATCCTGGTTCTTAGCTGGCTAATCTTGGGCAAGTCACTTAACCTCTCTGGACTGCAATTTCCTCCTCTGTCCAGTGGAACTAATAATCATGCCGACCTCATGGGGTGTTGTGAAGACTCAGTGAGTAAATGTTCAGCAGGGTCATGAACACTGTGCCAGGCACAGCACTGCCAGTGCTCAGTAAGTCATTACTACCCTGACTCCTGTAGCAAGAGTCTTGTGATCTGGAGACAGGGAGACCTGATACAAGGCCCAGTCCTGCCCCTCCCTGGCTGGGTGACCTCAATCAGGACCTTACTTTTCCTTATCTGGAAAATAGTGGCAAGAGTCCCTCCTGGGCCCACCCTGGTAGGTCTCAGCGTCACCTGCAGCAATGCCAACCTTCCCCACACAGCAGTAGTGAGAGTCATGAGAGGAGATACTATGTGGGCAATGATGGCTGAGCAAGTGCTGGGAAGGGGAGTGGCTGGAGCCCCTGGACTATAGTTTCTTCATCTATATAGTCAGCAATCCCCACTGTGCCGATCTCTGTGAAGTTTTGCTCATATCAACTAACAAAGGCAAAAAGTGTTGAGAGGGGTAAACACACAGCTCATGAGCTCAGTATATGAGCATAAGGGGCAGGCAGAGCCCATGTCCCTGTGCCCTGGCTGTGAAGTTCCATCAGGACCAGGCCTAGCTCCTTCCCGAATTGGCCCCTGCCTCAGCCCAAGCCACTGCAGCTCCTTCCCACATCCACAACCTAGACACCTTCTTTCATGGCATCTTGCTTCTGGTCTCAGGGACTTGAATCTACCCTCCAGCTGTAGTTGTCTGCTGAAAACTTTCCCTGACTCCCTACTGCCCTCAGAATAAAGTTACAAGTGTTCTAATGGCCCTCTCCATTCTGACCCCTGCTCACCGATTCAGCTGTACATCCCAACATTTCGCCTACCTTCCACAGCCCTTGACTTTGTAGCTCAATGGCCTATAATTATCTGTTTCTGCCTCAAGGCCTTTGCATAAACTCTTGCCTCTGCCTGAAGGTCCTGCCTGCCTGCCTTGCCAGGTCACATCTACGTGCCCTTCGGGTCTCAGTTCACAGGACCCTGGCCTCTCCTGATTTTGCTGGCTAGATCAGCATCTTCTTGGGGATTCCACAGCCTGCAGGGTTTTGACTCCCCTAACCACTCTAGAATGCCACTGTCTGGGGACAGGTCTGTCTATTCCAGGGACTGTGAGCCATGTGGTAACAGGGCTAACAGTGGATAGATAAATCAGTAAGATGCTAGGGAAGGGGCTGGTGGTCTCCCTTTGAGTTGCTCCAAAGGCCCAGCCAAGCCTGGGCCCCTTGCTCTCCAGCACCATCTCAGAAATGTTACCGTCCCCACCCAAGCTTCAGTCTTCCAACCACACTGGCTTTTGCCCTCCTGGGCTGTGCTCCCTCCATTCCCTCCAGTCTTCCAGACCCATGGTTGTTGGTTCCCACTTATCCTCTAATTCAGCTTTCTGGCCCTGTCCTGAGTGTGGCAGGCTGGATTCATACCTGGGGGAGTGCCTGGTACCCCTGGCTCCCTCCAGTCCTGGTCCTGCCACCACACGGGAAAGAACATATTAGGGCCTCAGTCTTCCCAGCTATTATGAGTCAGCCTGCTTCAGTCTGAATGGCTGGCTCCAGGGCTGACTAGCCACGTGACCTAGGGCAAGTCACTAACCTAGCTTCAATTTTTTTCTTAACGAGAACAATTATGGAACCCTCCTAGTAGTCTTGTTGAGAAGATACACTGAGCTAACATCTGAAAAGGTTTAGAACAGGGCGTGTGTGGTGAGTGATGTATTATGGGGTGGGTGTGAAAAGTTGGCAAGATAACCTCCATGCAGTACTTCTCGCTGCCATGTGCCTGCCCAGTCCCCCAGGACATGGATGCTGTCACCCTGATTATCACTGCTACCCCATCAGCCCCACAGGGGCCTGCTGTGGAGTGTGCACTCAGTAGTTTGCTGATTGATGGAGCCCTCATTCCCCAACAGGTGTTTTCTGAAAATGCCACATCAAGCCTTGAAAGTCTAACCCCTGCCTATCAAGCCTTAAAAGTCCAGTCTCAGCCAGCTACCAGTGGCTCACACCTATAATCCTAGCTACTCAGGAGGCAGAGATCAGGAGGACAGTGGTTTAAAGGCAGCCCAGGCAAATAGTTCCTGTGACCCTAACTCGAAATACCCATCACAAAAAAGGGCTGGTGGAGTGGCTCAAGGTGTAGGCCCTGAGTTCAAACCCCAGAACAACAACAACAACAAAAAAAACAAAAGTCCAGCCTCAGGAGGCTGGGAGCATGGCTCATGTGGTAGAGTATCTGCCTGGTGAGCATAAGGCTGAGTTCAAACCCCAGTACCACCCAAAAACTAAAACAAAAAGCCCAGTCCCTTGCCTGACGTAGATTTCCACTGCAACATCTAGCAAAAAGGAGGCCAGGCCAGCCTTCCCTGGACTCCTTCAAGGTTAGCTCTCTTGAAAGCTTACCCAAAAGGGGCCCCATTCAAAGTGAGCCCTCACCCAACTCACCCACCGGCTGCCGTCTTACCTGTTCCAGGCCGGCCCATGATGACTTCCTTCTTGGGGGCAGGATGGCTAGTATAGCTGCTGGGCACAAGGACTGGCAACAGGGCAGCAGGTGAGGGGTGGAAGGCCACAGGCTGGAAGGGTGAAGAAGCCAGGCCAAAGGTGGGCATCGGCTGGGCCACAGCAGTCGGCGCGGCTGGAGGCACGGTGATAGGCACAGGGGCTGGCAGAGGCGGGTGTGGGCCAGTCTTCCCACTGGCCACCCCAGGGGGCACTGGGGTCTCACGGCAGCCCCGCCCAGGTCCTCCAGCCCGCGCTTCACTGGCAGTGCCCACCTCTCCAGAGAATTTGGAGGGCAGTGGCACATCAGGGTTGCGGACAATGACGGGCGAGTCCCGCTGCACAGCAGGTACCCTGCGCACGGAGGGCCCTGGATCCGAGGTCAGGCCGGCAGGAGGGGGCAACAGCAGCAATGGTGAAGATTGGCGGGAGCGAGAGAAGGGCACAGCGGGCGACACAGCCCGGAAGCTAGCTGGCGTGGAGGGTGTAGGTGTGTGGGACACCGAGTCCACACTAGAGTCTAAGCTGTCACTCTTGGGGAAGTCTGAGGTGGCTCCTCCACCTCCTGCTCCAGGAGCCCCCAATGCTCCTGGGTGGGGCAGTAGCTCAGTCTTCCGCCGCCCGGGGCTGATGGGCACAGTAAAGGTTAGGTTGGTCTGGAAAGTGGGAAGGATGCCGGAGGAATGGCGCTCTCGGGGGGCAGGTGGTGGTGGGTGGGGACCCAGGTCTGGTGGTGTCAGCACACCTGCCTTAGGGGTGCTGGCACTCAGGTGGCGACTGCGAACAGCAGTGCGCTGGATGACAGGTGAAGCATTGATGGGGCTGAAGTTGGCAGGACGGAAGCCAAAGAGTGGTGAGGGCGAGGGTGATGGGGCTGGTGAGAAAGGCGACTGTGTTGAGACTGGTGAAAAGGAAGGCGTGCCTGAGCGCGAACTGCCCAGTGACACCAGCATCACAGCCGCTTCACACTCATCGAACTCAAAGCGAGACAGGTCAGCAGGGGCCACCAGGCGTGGGCGTGAGTCTCCCCGGGCAGCCACACTGCTGGCCTCACTGTCCCTCGATGTCTCATCACCCCAGTCGAATTCTGTGCTACCCTCACGGGCTGCCACACCAGCTGGTCGCCCGGCCCCACCTGGCCCACTGTCTGCCAGGCCCTCCATCTCCTTGGTTCGCATGGACAGGTGGCGTGAACAGTAGCCCCGCCGCTGTGACTCCTTCATGCAGCCATCTCTGGAGCACAGTCGTCGCCACTGCTTGCCATTGAACTTCTTTCGGATTCCATTGGGTGTGCAGACCACGTCACCCTTCTTGTACTTCTGCTGGGCAGCGGTCAAAGGTGTACGGGCCCGGGTTGCTGGTGCAGTCCCCTTCTCCAAGGAGGCCACACTGCTGCTCCGACTGCCACCCTGGCTCCCCTCCTGGCAGGGTGAGGGCTGCTCACCAGGGCGACCAGGGCCAGCAAAGGCTGGAGACTTGGGGGGTGGTGACAGGAGCTGGGGTGGGGGCAGTGGGAGCAGGGCTGGGGTGCCCAGGGCTATTGGGTGCTTCTCCTCACCCTCCTCACAGTGAGCCCCCAGGTTGCTTCCAAAGCTGATTTTAGAGACCTCAGCATCCTCAGGCTGCTTGGGGTCCAGGGCAGCAGGGCAGGTGGGCAGGGTGGCCCCAGGCTCTGTCTGCTCCTCCTCGGGGCCTGTGGGGGGCTTCCTCAGTAGGGTCTCAGGTTCCCAGGGGGGCCGCAGCAGGCGCAGGCTGGAGCGGGCCACCCACACAGCCTCCTCGGGCTCACGGTGTTGTGGCTGCTGGGGCTGTGGTAATGTGCCTGGTGGGCCTGGCTGGGAGCTAGGGCCAGGGCTGAGGCGGATCTTATACGCAGCTGGCTTAGTGGCCACCTCTACCACCACACCCTCACGGTAGGCAGCCACACCAGGCTCCACACAGGTACAGACAGCTGTGCCCACCACCAATGCACCTGGTGGTGGCGTGGCATCCAAAACCACATCCACACCACCACCTGGCACCCCCTCAAAGAAAGTCAAGGCCCGGTCACCAGGGAACTGCACACCCAGGTCCTGGCTTCGACGCACCTGGCGCACTACAGCAGGCAGGAAGAGGCCATCGCCACGCCGAGCCAGCACCCGCTGGGATCGCAGCTGCCGTAGGTCATAGCTACCACTGGTGCCACCAGGGGGCCAGGGGCATGGACCACAAGCCTCAGCTGGCTCATCCTCCAGATCAGCTGAGTGCTCACTGGCTGTGTCAGTGGAGGAAGAGCGAGTGGAGGTGGGTGGCCGTGGAGGCACCCCCAAAGAACTGGCCTCCTCAGGGGTCCGCTCTCGCTCTTCAGAGGCTCCAGTGCCACCACTGCCAGCACCGTGCTCCTCCACGTACTTCTTCTTGGGTGCTCGCGACTTGAATGTGGCTGTCTTGCGGCTAAGTGAAGGCTCCCAGCGACCTGCCTCCCCGTCCCCCTTGGGGTCCTCAGCTGGGCCTGGGGCAGGGTCACTGGGGTGCAGCTCCAGGGGTGGCCCCTCCACCCCAGGGCCCTGCTCAGCCTCTTCCTCCTCACCCTCTTCAGCCTCTTCTGGGCCTGGATGCTGCTGTGGCTGTGTCTCGTCATCCTCCTCCTCTGGCTTGTCACCCTCCCCAGCCCCTCGACGCCTCAGAGCCTTGGCCCTTGTGGCTGGTGGAGACTTGTTGTTGCTGCCAGAACCCGAAAGGCCAGTGCATGCCTTCTTCATTGGCTTCATCTTCCGTCCACCTGGAAGATGGGAAGCAGACAGGACTCAATGGTAGCAACTTAGGAAATGCCCCCCAACCTAGTGTCCCCAAAGACTTCCTACTTGCTGAGTCAACCACCTTCATTCCATGGTCCCCAAGGCTTTCTCCTTGGCTACCCTTAACTCACATGGACTCTGGCCAGCATCCAGACACAGACTGGCACCAGCGTCCCCTAAGCATATACACTCTGGTTCTTTGGGAAACACACATATGCACCTCCTCTCTCTGCAGGGGACACACACAGGCTCTAACTGCCCCAAAGAGATGCCAGGACACTGACATTTCACACCCAGGGAGTACTCACTTTGTCCCCAGCCCTATGCTAAGCTTGCTTCTATCAGCTCATTACATCTTCCAACAGCCCTAAGAGGTGGGGGCTGCCCAGCCCCCTTTATATTTGAGGAAACCAAAGCACAGAGAGACTGAGCTCAAACTTGACCAAGATCATCCAGCCAGGAAGCAACAGATGAAGGTCTGAACCCGGGCACCCTGGCTCCAGAACCTGTGTTCTTAACCACTTTGGTGTGCTGCATGTCACATGATCCACAGGGCATACTTATTTTCACTGACACCATCCAGAGGGCCACACACTGAAATGCACATACATACATAAGCACTAAGCCACAGAAAGGGAGGTGACTGGGCTGTGATGTGAGCCTCTCCCCTCCCCTTCCTTCTGCCCCTCTGGGCAGTCGCGCATGGCCAGGCATTGTGGGAAGGAGTAGGCAGCTGAGAGTCTCCAGGGACGGCTGCCCACTCTGCTCTGCACCCCAGCCCTGCCAGGTACAGCCATCTCCCCAGATCCTGGCAGAGAGCAGGTAGGGGCACGTCTGGGGCAAGAGCTCATACCCAGCACTGCCATAGGGCCGTGCGTGAGCACACGCACGCGCACAAACACAGGCACACACACGTCATCACACAGTGGGACACAGAGCTGCACCCCAGGGTTTCTCTGTTCTACTATATGGGAGCCTGCCCCCACCCCACAGCACCCAGCATGATACCCACAAGCCCAGCCCCCTCTTCTGGCCTGCATGCATCCCCACCCTCACTAGGTTGGCTGGGGCAGGGTGGCTGTCTGCTGGCCCCTCCAGGCTCCCAAATATGCTCTCCAAACCCAGGTGGGGGTAAGTAGGATAAGGTCAAAGAAAGCAGGACAAGCCCAACAGGCCAACCTCACCCACTTCCTGAACAGTCATTACTGCCCGCCCCCTTTCAAGCTGCTCTGAGAAAAGAGAAAAAAACAACTTTACTCTAAAGTGACTTACAGAACCTGAGAGTCCAAAAAGGGACATAGGATGGTTGGGGGACCCAGGTACAGAAGTCAAACCACAATCAGAAGTACCCTGACAGTCTTCAGGCTCCCCCAGGACCTTGACCTCATGTTCTCCCACTCTGGGCTTGCCTCCTCCTGTGCCCCCTACAGTCCCAGGTCTGTCCTTCCTATGATCCAATCCTAGGGTCCTCAAAGGCAGAACCTGCAGAGCCAAGGTCTGGTACCCAAGTGCCCAGGAGTCAGGCAGCCATCACCACCTTCTCCCCACTGACCTGCTGGGCCCTGACATCTGGCCCCAGTCGTGCCCAAAACCAACCTTTGAATACCCTAACCAGGGCAGACGACCACACTGCCTGGCACCCCTAGACCAGACCCTGCTGCCTGGCTGAGCCTCCTCACCCCAGAAGCCAAGCCTCTTTCTTTCCTTTGGGGCCTATTCTTTTCTCATTCACCTCTCTCTGGATAACTCCCCCCCGCCCAGGGTCCTGTGGGCCCTCAACCTCTCTCCTAATCTGAGCAGTAACTCCAGAAATCCAGGCCCTGGCTCTTTGAGGTCTCCTCTGCTCCCATCAACCCTCCTGCCACTCTCTCTCCCATCTTGTCACCACCTCTACCTTTCTCCCCACAGGCCCTAAGCCCCCTTCTCTGTTATCCCCTCCAGGTCACCCCCATTTATCTGTCACATATTCCTTCCAGTCACTCTCCTGTCAGCCATCACTGGACCTGACACCTTCTCTCCCATCACCTCTCCTCTTCACCACCTCCAACTCTGTCCCCTCCCTCTCTGTTACCCTGATCTAGTCCTGTCACCCCTCCATTCCTGTTACCAGTTCTCTGCCCACACCACTCCCCTCCCCCAGTCACCCCTTTTCTGTAACCCCCCCACCACCACTTCCTCCACTCCGACTCCTCTTCCCACCATTCCGCCCACCCTTTTCCCCCTGTACCCCCTTCCCGTCCCTGCCACCTGTCCCCCCCACGGACCCCAAGCCCCAGTACCCCTGCCCGTGTCAGCCCTGGCCCCGCCCCTCACCTCGGGCTCGGCGGGGTTTCGGGGCGGGGGGCCGTGGCCCCGGCTCGGTCCGGTCCGGTCCCTCCCCGCCCCCCCTCCGGCTCTCCCTCTCGATTCTCTCTTTTTTTTTACTCCAACACACAAAATGGTGAATGGACCTGCAACAGCTGGAGCAAACAACCAATCAGCGGCCACAACCCCGCTGACCGGCGCCGGTCTAGGCCAATAGATATTCGCAGCCTGGTTGGCTCCGCCTCTCAAGGACGAGCGACACTCACAGCAACCAATCGCGCCCTTCCGGCCGCGCTAGTGGGCGGGGCCAAAATCAAAGACCGGCCTCCCTCCGGGACCGACACTAACCTGAGCCTACGACCGCCTGATCTGCCTAGGTCCCTGCCCTACAACAAGTGATGGACATCAGCCTTGACCTATTGCAGGCCGTGTTCGTACAGAATGACAATTACAGTACCCAGTCACTATTCACCCTAGAATGGAATCCAGCCTCGGGGAGGAACAGTAGCCAATGAGATCAAAGAAGGCGGAGCTAAGGGACTGACTCTCCAATGAGCAGACCTGGAAGGCGTGGCCTGAGCGTTTGTGGAACGGCTAGTCGCAATTCCTGCTGGGAATAGTAGTGTTCTTACGTCTCCGACCCATAGTCGACAGTACAGAGCAGACTACAACTCCCATGGACAGAGTGCTGGGAGCGCTAAAGAACCCGGGCGAGGGGAAAAAGTCGGAAAGGGCAGTTCTTCCTGAGTCTCGCTGAACACCAGGAACATCTTAGACCCAGGGCCCCGACTCACCCGGATTCCCGGCTCTGGCGTCGCCGGTGGCTCCTCACAGTGGCGGCGGTTGCAGCACGAGGGGGAGGTGCGAGGAGCAGCCAACCGCCACCCGTGAGCCCCGCAGCCAATCAGCAGCGGCCGGGGCGGTGCAATGACCTCACCAGTTCTACTCTCTTACCCATCCCCCACGTGGTTGTTGCTGTCGGTAGCCGGAGTAGGGAAGTTGGAGAGGGAGGGGGGGATGGGAGAAGAACTAGTGATGTCACCTTCCCCCTGCTTGATTGGCTGTCGGGTGGCCAGGACAACGACCAATCAACGGTCTCGAGAAGTCTGGCGCGGCCCCGCGGAAAGCCCTGTTGCCACCGAGAGGAGAATGCACGCCGGTGGGGTGGCGCGCGCTGCAGTGTAGGCAACGCGCGCGGGGACAAGTCATCTTCTCCAAGGCTTTGACATTTAGAACGACTGAGTTTTCTGACAGCCCCTCTCCCCCCAAGCATTTGGTGGCCGGGGACACAAGATGAGGAAATACAGCATTTCACGGGACTTCACACTGCATTCAGTGGAGAGCTACTCTGTGATGTGTTCACACCTGGAGGAGGGAGATTTCTAAAGGTCGTGGAGTGGGTTGTCATAGTGGAGGTGAGGAGGAGAGGATGAGCCTTGGTAGTAATGATGTCTGTTGTCCAAACACGGAGTTTGCACCAGGTGTGAACCTGTCTCTCTCTATATATCCATTCGCTCTTCACATTAGATTTATCCTAGACCAAGAGTACTGGGGTGTGCGCTGGCTCTAGGGAAGGTTTCTTTTGCTTGTAATGGGTTCTCATTACTGTATCCACTCAAGACTCTCACCAATTGTGGGGAAAACACATCTAGTCTATTGTAGGTCATACTGTTCTGTGCCCCACCACTTGTGAAAGAATGTGCTATGGTATATGCCTGGTTGACACAGGGCATGGAAGATTTGCCAGTTGTCCAATGGCGATCACTGGGTGTGGAAGAGATTCACATTATGCAAGGAAGTTCCCACTATCCATAGAGACTGGTCAAAGTGTCACTGTCCACAAGGAGTTCACACTCTGAAGGAATTTTATACTATTAACCTATGTTACTACATTATCTGTACAATCTTATACTATCATATTATTTCTATTTTAGTTCCCTAAAAGATAGTTCCTACTTCCATATTGGGTAGATCTGAAGTTGAGGAAGCGTTTTGGTTTTTTTTTTTTCAGTACTCAGGATCCAACCCAGTGACTTGCACCTGCTACAGACAAGAAAACATTTACAGGGCAGTTTATACTGTGCACATTGGATAGATATTGGGTCTGGGTAAATTTTTACACTAATCAAGAGAGTTTACCAGGCACTGTGGCTCATACCTGCAATCCCAGCTACTCAGGAGGCAGAGATTGGGAGGATGGAGGTTTTAAACTAACAAGACCCCAACTCAGCCACTGAACTGGGAGTGGGTGACCTGTGCTTGTCATCCCAGATACCAGGGAGGCATAAATAGGATCACAGTCCAGGCTAGCCTGGGAAAATATGCAGTACCCCACTGCAAAATAACTAAAGCAAAAAAAAAAAAAAAAAAAAAAAAGCTGGGATGTGGCTCAAGTGGTAAAGTGCCTGCCTAGTAAGTTCAAAACCCAGGAATGCCAAAAAATAGAGAGAGCTCAGTCATTTAGGAGATAAGAGGCAGGAGGATCTTGAGTTCAAAACCAGCCCCAGGAAAAAGGTAAGCGAGACCCTGTCTCAAAAGTAAAATAAGGGCTGGTGGAGTTACTCAAATGATAGAGTACCTGTCTAGAAAGCAGAGGCCCTGAGTCCAAACCCCAGCACCGCCAAAAAAAAAACCCAAATAGCCAAAATATGGAGTCAGCCCAGGTGTCCATCTACCAATGAATGAATAAGGAAAATGTGGTATATATACACAATGGAGTATAATTCAGTCATAAAGAAGAATGAAATTGGGCTGGAAGTGTGGCTTAAGTGGTAGAGTGCCTTCCTAGCAAGCATGAGGTCCTAAGTTCAAACCCCAATGCTGCCAAAAAAAGAGAAAAGAATGAAATTATGTTGTTTGCAGGAAAATGGATGGAACTAGAGATCATCTTGTTAACTGAAATAACCTAGACTGAGAAAGACAAATACTGCGTGTTCTCTCATGCAGTATCTAGATTCTTGACTTTAAAAAGTGAACATAGACCTTAAAGAATGAGTAATACAAAAATGAAAATATGAATGACAAGTGTAAAGTGGGAACTCCTTTAGGGTGAGAAGCAGAGGTAGGGGGAGGGCAAAGGGAGAGGGTTAGGGGGGTAAATACGACCTGAGACCTTATATACATGTTAGAGAATATAACAGTTAAACTTGTTTTTAGAAGGGGTGAGGGGGATGAGAAAGTAATGGGAGGGGATGAATTTGATCAAAGTCTATTATATGCATGTATGGAAATATCACAATGAAACCCGTTGTACAATTAATATTCATGAATTTTAAAAAGTGAAAGTAAAAGGCCTGGGGGAGGGGCTGGAGGAGGGGCTCAAGAAGTAGAGCACCTACCTAGCAAGCATGAGCCCTGAGTTCAAAACCCAGTGCCACTAAAAAAAACAAAAGGGCTGAGGGTGTGGGGGCAATGGTAGAAGGGTTTGTATAAGGCCCTGGGTTCAATCTCCATACTGGAAAAAAAAAGTGTTCAGTGAAGCACAAAAATTGCAGGTGACAGAATCCAAGAACCTAGTGATTTACGGGATGAGTTGGGAAAGCTCCCTGTCGGTAGAGACTGGTGAATCTCACAAGCCCTGAGGGGCTTGTGCCTGTGACTGGAGGTGTGGCCAAGGGCAAGAAAGTATCTGTGTGTCCAGGGGACTGACCTTGTCCAGGACGGCGTCCTGCCATGCCAAGTGGTAGGACTAGCAGAGTTTGGGGAATGAAATGAAATTCTGCATGTGGAAGTGAGAAGAGGACCATAACCCTTTGAAATATCATGGTCCACTGGGCTCACGCCTTTAATCCTAGCTACTCAGGAGGCAGAGATCAATAGGATTATAGTTTGAAGCCAGCCTGGGCAAATAATTCTTGAGACCCTATCTTGAAAAAACCCTTCACAAAAAAGGGCTAGTGGAGTGGCTCAAGGTGTAGGCCCTGAGTTCAAACCCCAGTACCCCCCCCCCAAAAAAAAGGATTGTCTCTAGCTATGTTGTGTTTATGGGCATAGAGTGATCGCCACCACTTATACAAGTTACAGGAGACCTGTCGTGGAGGAAAGGCATGTGCAGGGAGAACTACAAAAAATGTAGTTAATTACACAGTTCATCACAGTTGCTCGGTCATGAGGGGTGAGGGATGATGCAGGACAACTTGGCCTTAGCCAGGCTGCCTGGGGTCAAATCCCATCTGGGCTGCTTCCCAGCTGTGTGATGTTGGGAAGGTCACTTAATCCCTCTGTGCTTTGATTTCCACCGCTTCTAAAAAAGGAGACACTAGAGCTAATATTGTGGTTCAGTGGTAGAGCGCTGGCCTGGCGTGCATGAGTCCCTGGGTTCCCTCCCCAGCACCCAAAAATTAATTAATTAATTAAAAGGGGATAATAAAGAACCTGATGGTATGGTGTTGCTACAAAGATGCAATGAGTTACCATGTGCAAACACTTAGAAGCTTATGCTATTTGCACAGTAGGGTGACAATGATAATGGTGTTGGAATTTGTGTGTGTGTGTGTGTGTGTGTGTGTGTGTGTGTGTGTGTGTGTGTGTGTGTGTGTCAGAACTCAGGGCCTCATGTTTGTTAGGCAGGCACTCTACCACTAAGAGTCACACCTCAGGTGCACCTGAGGTGTGACTTAACATACTGTACATTTCAAAAAGCTAGAACAGGGCAGGGAATGGTAGAGTACCAGCCTTGAAGCCCTGAGTTTAAATCCCCAGTACTGAGAGAAAGAGAGAGGGCAAGAGAGAGAAAGAGAAAGAAAACAGCTGGGCGCTGGTGGCTTATGTCTGTAATCCTAGCTACTTGGGAGGCTGAGATCCAGAGGATCAAGGTTTGAGGTCAGCCTGGGGCAATAGTTCAAGAGACCCCCATCTCCAAAATAATCAGAGCAAAATGGACTGGAACTGTGGCTCAAGCAGTAGAGCATCTGCTTTGCAAGAGAGAAGCCCTGAGTTCAAACCCCAGTCCAACCAAAAACAAACAAAAAAACAAAATGAAATGATAAAATGATAAATGTTGGTCTGGGGGCATGGCTCAAGTGATAAGAGTGCCTGGCTAGCAAGCATGAGGCTGAGTTCAAACCCAAGGTCTGCCAAAAAAAAAAAAAAAAAAAATCCAAAACAAAACAACTGTTTAAGGAGATAGTGTTTAACCTGATTTGTACACAATGTATACACATGAAAATATCTCTTGATCTCCCATAAGTATGTTACAATTTTTATGTTTTTATGTATCATTTAAATTAAAAACTAAAAACAGGCTGGGAGTATTGCTCAGTGGTAGGCTGCATGTTAAACACATGCAAGGCCCTGGATTCAATCCCAGCATAAGAAAAATAAATAAATATTATAAATTTAAAAAGAACAGTTTTATACCATGTGTACATGCCTATAATCCCAGCACTTGGGAGGCTGAGGCAGGAGGATTGCAAATTCAAGTTTAGCTTGGAGGGCTGGTGAAGTAGCTCAAGTGGTAGAGCACCTGTCTAGCAAGTGTGAGGCCCTAAATTCAAACCCCAGACCACTAAAAAAAACAATCTAAGATTATAGCCAGGTGAAGGTGGCACACCCTTGTAATCCTGGCTACCTCAGGAGGCAGAGATCAGGAAGATCACAGTTCGAAGCCAACCCAGGCACATAGTTCACAAGACCCTATCTCTAAAAACCCAACACAAACAAAAGGCTGGTGGAGTGGCTCAAGATGTACACTCTGAGTTCAAACCCCATAACTGCAAAAAAGAAAAAAAAAAAAGATCAGCCTGGCTATAATAGCAAAACCCTGGGGGGCAGGGAGAGGGAGAAAGAGAGAGGGGCTAAGAGATATGGAGAAAGAGAGATATAAACAGTTGTCACAATGTAATTGAAGTAACCTTATCCATATTTTGTGTGTGCTCAGGTGGTTATTTTGGGGAAGGATCCAGGGG